ACCATGATAATCACAAAACAATGTCTCGACAGCATTTTCTAATGTGTAGCCAACATCTGTTGATAAAATTATAGCTGGAAATTAACAGTGCGTATATGTGAATAGCGACGTCATAAAAAAACATAGGTACCTGTAATTGTAATCCTACCTGTATTATACATGTATATTAACTCAAAAAATTGAAACTTTAATTGGAATACCTTAATAATTAGACACATTGTATAATACATTCCAAAATGACGTGGAATGAATGCATTCCACATCCAACTAATATTTTTAAACAGACCTAATCAAATTTTATATCCATAAGTCATCCATCAATTAATTATGAAAAATAAAAACAATATAATTAAATGAAAATATAATAAATAATAGTATAATAAATAATAATAATTTTATACACTTTTTTAGGTACGATGTCTTTTTAAATAAAGAATAACAATAGTGGGAAGTAAAATGCAAAATAAAATTCGAGAGAAGATTGTTCTAAACGATCGAACATTAAGAGATCTAAGACTTTATAGTAATTTTAACCCTTTCAAACTGGCTGCAATTTGGATTTTCAAGTTTTACCAGTTTCTCTATGCTTTATTACTTTTAAATGATTTTATTTTAATGATTTTCTATGTGGTATTGGTTTTTATTATGTGATAAACGATTTCTTTTCAGTATTACAGTTATTTATATTTGTAATGGCCGATTTTCATATATTTCTCAACACCTAAAGATTTTCCACAAAATATGATGAATTGAGAAAATTATTTGATGCAATGAGTAGTGATTTCTAACTTTCAGTCATAATGGAAAATTTATATTTGAACACTACAAAACTATGTGTACTAAAATAATAATCATATACTTTTTTATGTTTTCTTCAATGATATTAGCTTGGATCCTTAGTCCATTATTCGTAAAAGAATTTACTTTAAAAAAAAAGAAACGGCAGTCTAATAATTTATCAAAACAACGTCCTAAAATTATTCTTCATTTTCATACCATTTTCGGTTTATGAGCGAATTTACCCAATTGTATTTATATTTGAAGTTATTGAAGTAACACACATATTATTTTAGATTTTTTTTTCTACAATATAATAGTTATAAAATTTTGTTTGATGCTGTCAGCTCAATTGAAAATAATTGCATTTAAATGTGAATCATTTGGATATGATAATGTTGAATAGGTGTGTGTGAAATGATAATGATTAATTTTTTTTATCAATATTTTTTAAGCACACAAAAGAAAAACATAATTTTTTTAACGATATTAATGTTTAAAAATAATTGAATAGGACAGAGTAATTACATGATTACATTGAAACAATTAATGTTGGATCATACAAAGTTAAACAAGTAAGTAAATTAAAAGCTTTTACGTCAGTATAAAGTAGAAATTAAATTATTAAAAATTTTTTTAATATTCATCACCTATTTTATAGATTATTGTAGTTATACATTCATTCTTATTACCATGTTATGAATAATATTCGTATTTTTATCCAATGTCTAATTTTAACGAAATTAAATAATTATTCATTAAAATGCCTTCTAAAGCATTTCAAAATGTTATTCATAAAATGGTAGTTAATTCGAATACTAATTCGGTCCTAATATGTTAACTATTAATACTTTTATTAGTTCAATTAAGAAATTTTATGAAATCATGAAACCGATGACAATGTTAAGCTTTGGGCACTATTTCAATGCTTAGATTGCATTTACATATTTGTTTATTCTAGTATGTGTATATCAAATTTACCGATTGAGTTATTTTTGTAAATAACTTTTATAAATTTATTTGCAGAATTAATTCAAAATGATTATATTTTGTCAGTTACTTCTGTGAAATTAATATGTACAATATTAATGTCATCTTTTAATTTGTTTATTATGTGTTATTTGTATGGTTATCTTTGAAATCAAGTAAGATATATTAAAACCATATATATATATATATATATAATTTGACAGTAGATAGCACATTTTAATTACATTTTGACTTAAATTTGTTTAAAAACTCTATTTATGCGTTTTAAAATATGTATAAAAACAAGTTTTATCAAAATTATACCAAAAAGAATTTTTTTAATTTAACATTTATTTTAGAGAAATTTAGTGGCTATTACACTGTATACAACAATTTTATGACTTATAAGAATAATCATATTGAAAAAGTTAACTTTGTCTCTTTTTTTGATAGCACTAACATTTTGCATAACACAAAAAATTCATAAAAAATTTTTTTCTCAATTATATTATTGAACGAAATAACTTTTTGTCAAGTGCATTTTTTATCAAAATGCTTTGAACGAATTCCTGCTAAATAATATACATAATTAATTCTAACATTGCGTATACGCAACATTTTATCATAAAAAATATAAGGAGGTATTATTTTTTTTTGACTTAATAAGTTATATTATGGTAATAAATTGCAGTAAAAAAAATTTAATTAGTGTTTTTTCTAACCTTGGGGACTTATTACTAACTTCAATGATTACATTTTATCTACTTGGGGAGTGTCACATCAGGCACGTAGCCAGAAAATTAAACACTATCTACAGATTTGCATCAAAGCGTTTCTTATGATAGTGATTTTAATCACTGTCAGATATCAACTATGCCATTTCCCCACTGTGCCGCGACTCCACTGTGCTGGGTTTTTTTAATTCTTTTTTTCCCCTAGAGTTAAGGTAAAAACTTAGTAAATTGAACAGTAGTACTATCTTAGAAAAACAGGTGTGTCCTTTACATTTAAAATTCCACTATGCTCCGGTCTGGTTGAGCCTAGTCTAGTGGTGGATCCAACTTTTTTTGGAGTTATGGGCCTTTATTTGTGTAAGCCTTACGGCAAGAAACAGGTGAACGTCACACTATTTATAGTAAATTTATAAGAAAAACTAAGTATTTCGTTAAAACTGCTATTTTTTTGTATTTTTATCGTAATGAATAATTTCAATAGGAAAAATAGTGATAATTTCTATGTAACTCTTGTCGTAACACAGGAAAGAGAAAATGATATTAGGTAAATGTGTAACTGGTGTAAATGTGTGTACGAAGATGAATATGAGGAGGTGGTGCCTGCTGTCTAGGTATTCACGTGCGTGTTGTCGTACAGCAGTCACCGTGCTCGGCTGACACTCCGGGTTAGCTGTGGGTGTCGAAAGGCTGTTGTCATAGGAAGGGAGAATAAGAGTAACACCTAGGTATGAGGTGCAGACGAAGTGCAAGACACAAATACTAGGCGCACCAGGTGAGGAAAGATAACAGAGTACGAGGTGCAGACGAAATGCAAGACACAAGTACTCTGAAATGTCGAGGAAAAGAGTATATAGGTTAGAAAAGGAATAAACAAAGACTTTACTTTAAACAGTAAGCCGGACAGCGACAACCGAGTACTGAGACTGATGAATGACACAAGGCACTGGAGTCGACTGACCAAGATGGTCAGGTCTATTGGGTTTTTATAATAATTACACTTATTGCCGATTTGGCAATAAATATTATTTGTTAATTCATCAGTCTCAGGCAGCGGATGTGCTGTCTGTATTTTATTAAAATAATTCTCACGATTATGAAAACGTGACACCATCACACTCTTAGTGATCATATCATATCAAATCTAATTAGACAAATATACTTTTATAACATTAGAAATGAATGATTTTCATTACCTATATTAAGAATTAGGATTAAGTTTTTTTTTTATTTAAGGGGAAATTTTTATAATTTTCGATAATATCTGTAACTACATACTACATGTGATCATTTAATGTATCATTAAAAAAAATTGGTCGTGTTACATCTGAGAAAATGAATGACTGACAAAAAAACGATAGCACAGTGGGCGTGGTATAGTTTGGACAAGTATAGATTATATCTTGCAGTGATTAAAATCACTATAAAAAGAAACGTTTAGATGCAAATCTGTAGATAGTCTTTAATTTTAAGAAATTGTTGGATTATTCAAAAGCAAAATTATAACTCAAAAATGATTAAATAAAATTACAAAAAAGTCATAACCACAATGTCAAACGTTCGTCATATTCGTTTTTGATAAAATTTAAAATTTAAGCTGATTCAATGTTAAAATTAGTTTTTTCGACTTAAAAGAAAAAAAAATTGAAATAAGTTTATTTTTATATTCTATATCAATTAGATTTATATAATTTTTATGAAAATCAGTGTATCCCTTACAGTTCATCAAAATTGGTCCAGTGAGAGCTGAGAATAAGTGGTAACAGTCACAAAAAAATAATCTTAATAAAATGAATACCTTCTCAGCTTCGCATCAAGGCTAAACGCTACATTGTATTAGATTTTTTTAAAAACTTTTTGATTGTTTATTTTTTTAGTTTCAATGTGTATCTAAGAAGATTGGTCTTGTAATGCTGTGTGTTTTTTATTTATCTGTTCACTAAAATTTACAGCTCTTACTAGACCATGACGCGGTCGCATTCCACTTCCGGTTTTACCGCTGGATGGCGACTGCGATACAGCTATCTCTCCTCGTCCCACAGGTCGCGCGACGCCGAGTGATCGCGGGTGACGAGAACCGGTTCGATGATGCACCAAACATTAACATTGATCTTTCAACTCTAGCGTGAGAACTATTGTCTACTTCCTCCTGGAAACTTATCTTGTTTTATGTACTCTTTACGGATATAATAATTTTAAAATATATTTTCACTGATATTTAACCACGGTGTTATTTATTTATAATAAAAACAACCTTAATTACAACAACCAATATAAATGATTAATACATTAAAAGATCACAATTTTAATCTAGTTAAATTTATAGTTACCAAATAAAAAAAAACCTTAATTTTAGAAATTTAGATCATTATTTCGAAATTTTTATTGTAAAAAATTTAAACTCCAAAAAAAACTTTTCTTAATTAAATATCTCCTTATTACTAAAATTAGCAATTATACATATGTTATACTAATGAATAAATTAAATACTAATCAAGATATAATTAAGGAAATAGGAGTTGATGATGCTTTTGGAATAATCGACTAATTACTTAAAATTAAACACTGTTTACGAATTTACATGGAAGCATATCTTATAATAGTGATATTAATCACTGTCAGATATCATTTATACTTGTCCCAACTATGCCACATCCACGCTGTACTGACAATGTTCTATAATAGTTATAGTTTATACTACACAAAAAAATAATTTGTATGATTGGAACAGTTATTTTATAAAAATTGATTATAATTGAAAAAACCCAACCTCACTGTGCTACCATTTTTACGTTTCATCTTGTTTTAGATATATCTATTAATTATTAAATTTGCGAAGTTATTGAACTATTTTTCCTTTCTATTATTCAAAGTTAAGGTATAAAAGCTTTCTTATTAAAACAGAACTGGGTCTCTATATGACACGTCCTTGATAGTAATTAAATGAGTAATTTGTGCTGGTAATAGTTGAAAATCCTTAATCTTATTGCTATTTTGGATTACGACTGACCTTCGTGGACATTCCCCTTGGTAGTGATTAGGAAGAAAAAGGTTTTTCTTGTTTTCTAAAATAATTTTGTTTATTATACATTTTGCACTTAAATGTTTCGTACTTTTATGTGAGGGCCATACATTGTTCGTATATTTTTGATAAGAACTTGTTTTTATAAATAATTTAAAACTTCAAAAAATGGAGTATTTATATCAAATTAATGTTAAAATTTACTTCATTTTCAAGATAGCCATAATAATAGCACATAATAAACAAATCAATAGACACCGCCAATGTTGTTAATAATAATTTCGCAAAAATAACAGACATTTCACAGCCATTTTTAAAGTAATTCTGCAAACTAATTTCAAATTATATTAAATTATATTAAATTACGAAAATTAATTAATCGCTAAATTAAAAATATACATACTAATATACACATATATATGAGAGCATTAAACATATTGAAATAGTATACATATGTAAACCATGTCATTGGTTTCATAATTTCATAAAATGCCTAATTGAACTAATAATAATTATTAAAAATGTAACACCAAATTAATTATCAGATTATCTACCACTTTATGAATAAAATTTTTAAATGTTTTAAAAGATATGTTAACAAATATTCAATTAATTTCGTTTGATAATTAATCATTGCACAAATATGCGAAAAAATTCTTATCATGATGATAAGAATTAATGTATTATTTTAACAATTTATAAAATAAGTGATAAATAAAATAAAATTTAAAATAATCTTACATGTTTATTTTTGTGTAATCTAGAAGTATTTGATTCAAATTTTTGGTGTAATTATTGCCGTTTTTCTGCCCTATTTGGAAAAAAATGAATTAATATGAAACATTACTAGCATTAAAAAAATTATGTTTTCCTCTTAAAATTAATTCACACGCACCTAAATTTACATTTTTATATCCAAATGATTCGCATTTATATGTCATTATTTTCAATTGAGCTGATAACATCCAACAAAAGTGTATAACTATTGTATAGTAGAAAACTATATCAAACATCATATGTATTAATTCAATAGCTTCTAATATATATATATAATTGGGTAAATTGATAAAAAAAAATTTCATACGTACCTATTTCTTCATTTTCGTATCCACATGATTCACATTTAAATGCAATTATTTTCAATTGAGCTGTTAACATCCAACAAAATTGTATAACTATTGTATAGTAGAAAACTATATCATAAGTAATATGTGATATTTCAATAGCTTCTATTAGATATACAATTGGGTAAATTCGCTCATAAATCGAAATTGGTATGAAACTGAGTAATGTATTTAGGACGCTATTTCGATAAATTACCAGACTGCCGTCTCTTTTTTTTAAAGGATATCCTCTTATAAATAACGGATTAAGAATCCAAAGTAACACCGCCGAATAACATACAAAACTGTATACGTTTATTACTTTCATACACATAGATTCGTTCTGTTCAAATATATATTTTCCTTTACAACTAGAAGATAAAAAATCGATACTTGTGGCATCCAATAATTTTCTTAAATCATCATATTTCTTCGAAAGTATATAGTTGTTTAGATATATTTGAATAGTTGATATTACATTTATAAATAATTGTATAGTTGAAAAAAAATCGTTTTTCACATTGTAAAATCCAATAAACACATAGCAGTTGATTATAATAAATTCCATTAATATTAATAGAGTATAGAATAACTGGTAAAACTTGAAATTTCGAATTGTAGCCAGATTTAATGGATTAAGTTCACAATGTAGATTTTGATATTTCAACATTCGATCTTTTAGAATAAATTTCTATAAATTTTTAGAATAAGTGTCGCGTTAGCGGTTAGTGATACGACAACGAATTCCGAATGAAATAAAATTAATATTAATTTTATTATTTTACGGTTAATATTTTAGTAGTCTTTAAATTTTTGATACCTAGTTATTAACTATATAAAGTACAAGAGTACAATCTGGCAGACCACACGTCAGTAATTATGTCATTTATTTAACATTAGTAGTTAAGGGCTAAATAATATTTATTGAGATGGATGAAAGAAATAATGCATATTAATATTCATTTAATTTGATCCAATTCATTGAGTAAGTTTTACATAAAATTTAACGAATATATAGTTGCAAATTACATTTCTATACAAATTTCCAATAGTGTAAATGATTAGTAGTGTGTAAAAATTCAATTCATTATAATTCATTAAAACATAATTTAAATCGTAATAATTGGTAAATATTACATATTCAATCACACATTAATGGATTGTGTGTATAATCAATTTGTATTATTATTATGTAATATTTCATAATGATAAAAAAAATGTAATCAATATGCAATTTTACTATAGGTTCATACTTACATAGTTTTTTCCTTACATCATAATTATTTCACATCTAATAAACACATATAAAATTTAAAATAGTATTGAATAATTTATAAAACAAATTTATAAAAATAATTTATATAAAGCAGTTAAAAATTTTTAAATAAAATATTATTGGCCTTTAAAAAGTGTTAGTTTATTATACCAACTTCTAAGAGACGGAGTTTCATTGTGAATTTTTATGGAATGTTTAATTTTAAGATCAAAATAAGTAGCAGTTATGGATTTAATTAACAGGGGAATATGATTTATTAAGCTATTAGTTTCATTATCTTAATTTACTAAACAAAACATTTGAGACTGACTTATAAATTTACTAAGAACTTTGGACTGGACCATTAGTTTATTGACGGCTTTATTTTTATAATCAATACTCCTTAAAACTAAATCTGTTTCAAAACATAATGATAGAACATTATCACTTGGGTAACATAAACCATTTTGATTACCATTCCTATTTTTTAAACTAACAATAGAATTTAAAAATTCTTCTTTATTAGAAGAAAACAGTGCAGAAACACAAGTCGGGCACTTAATTGTTGAACTTAGTTTATGAACTACAAATCCAAAAATAAAATAATTATTTGTTTGGAAAAGTACTCATTACATAACACTCTTCTCTGATTGGGATAACATAGTCATGGTCATTAATAAATGAATCTGAGGCTAATACATTTTCTTCATAAAATAATGAATCATAAGAAATACTTACTNGACACTTAATTGTTGAGCTTAGTTTATGAACTACAAATCCAGAAATTAAATAATTATTTGTTTGGAAAAAGTACTCATTACATAACACTCTTCTCTGATTGGGATAACATAGTCATGGTCATTAATAAATGAATCTGAGGCTAGTACATTTTCTTCATAAAATAATGAATCATAAGAAATACTTACTGAACTATCATTTATAACTTTTACAATGTATGTACTGGAATAGTGAAGGATTTCAATATTGTCTAGAGGAATACAATTATCAGTATTTAACTGTGGAATATTTGTGACATGAATGACCAACTTTTTGTATGCTGACCGAAATTGTTTAGCAATTTCTTCAACTAGATAAAATTTGTGATCTTTTAACTATTGTTGAAAGAAAGTGGTCCGATGAAAGCCCAAAAAAAGTAATTACAGACACAAAAAAATATTCACATCATGGTAAAATTAATATCTTTTCCACATCGCATCGAAGCTAATAAATGTATAAATTGTTATGTAGATCATAAGTTAGAGGTGTTGATAGTTAGATCTGTCTCACTCTATATAAGTGTGTTCAGTAAGTAAAGAGACACATCAGTTGAACACCTATAAATATGATATATACATATATTATGTATATATTTATAGACAATTACTAAATTTTGTAATTAAATCATTTTTTAATGTATTTTTAATGTGTGAAAAAAATACATAATAAATTTCAGAAAGACATTTTGGATTTAATAGAGAAAACATATACGTAATTTTCATACAAAACATGTATTTTGTACCACGAAACACAGTAAAAATTAACATTAGCTACTAGTACACATAAGATCCATCGACGGTGGTGGTGGTATAGTGTATAGAGACATAGATGTTAACGGTGATTTCTTGAAGATCTTGAAATTTTTTACAACTGGTATTGCTGCAGTGATGGATATAGCAATTATAAAACAAATCACCCAAAATCCATTCTGGAAAAAACATTATAAAACTAACATAACTCTTACGGTCAATAGTAAAGGTATTTTAATAAACATACGAGAGAGTCTAACGCTTGTCTACAAATTAAATCTCTTCCGATTCTGTACACGTTCCATACTGGTCTACATGATGCCGCTTCCTTTTTAGTTGCTTCAACAACGTGCGATTTGTATTTTTCAAAAATTAATTTAATACTATTTATATATTCGTCCATGTTCTAATTAAACATGAAAATTTCACTTTTTATTTATTTTTTTTTTTGAGTATAAATTTTTAATTTCAAATACAATGTTACCAAAAGATATATTTTTTTTTCGGCATTTGCGTATAATATTAGTCAAAATATTATCAGTTATTTTTACTAACCTTTCTAACGATTTGATCAAAGTCTGAACTAACAATTCTTGTATACGCCTGGGCCCACGTGCGATTAAATAATTCCGACAAGGGTTGCATTTCGACTTCCATTAACGTTATCCGGTATAGCAAAATGTTCTGGGAGCATACGTCAGGCAAGTTAATGTTTCAATACATTTTAATACAATATTAGGCATTAGCGTTTAAATTACTACAAATTTAATAATTAGTACGAAGTCTACACACTTTCTTTTGTTCCATAGGATTAATGACATTGTCTAATATATCAGTGATGTTTTCCACTAGCCTCTTAAGCGTTGTTTTAAACGAATTTGAATGTGTAGCTGTTTGAATTGAAAGCGCATTAATTTGATTATGAAGCAATGTTACTCTTCCATGAGCTAATGATGAAGTCGAAATCTGTTTAAAAAAATATTTCGTAAGACGTTAAATAAATATTTGATAAAACTTAAAATACAAAATAAATGTAAAACTTTTCAGCAAACTAAATTTAAATGATAAATTGAAATATTTTAAATAAAATTATAATTTTATCAAATAAAGAGCAATATTTTTCCTGATTTTTTTACATATCTTTATAATTAGCAATTTAAAATATTCATCGAAAAAATGTAAATGTGTACACTATATATTCAAAACTATGTACTTCTTTCCTATTTCCCCCTAAAAAAGAGAGCTGTAGTACCACTGACTATGATAAAATATTATACTCATAAAAATAAAATACGTATAATTTTATAAAAATAAACATTAAATTTAAAGAACTATTGTTAAATTTAATAATTTTATCTTCGAACCTGTCTTCGAAAATGTTGAAAATTTATGTTTGTTAATTCTGCTATTGGTTTTAACACGTCATCTCTCGCAACTGGTTTATCATCATCCAAATTAACGCGTATGTTTTTGTACCTAAGACTCTCAAGTCCATCAATTAGGCCAGGCCATTTTGTGTATTCTGATCCAGCTTCTGAGTTGAATAATTTGTTCATACTAAACGTCGAATATGCCGTTTTATTGGCTTTGCACGCTCTAAATAATTAATCAAAGTCAAATAAATGGGTTTGGCCATATAAATATATCCAAGTTTCCGATAGTCAATCGGACTTACTCCAGGACTTCGTTGAATGTTGACGTGGGCGTATCATTTCCAAAAACAAACCACGAAAAAAAACCATGTTCATTTGTCAACCTTGGATCATCCATTATTTTTGAGACTGTTTCATATGTTGGCTCATCGTACAAAGCTCGACAAACGTTAGATTCACTGTTGCTACTTACAATCAATCCCACAAAAGCGATTACCCACATTACTAAACTTGTAAGTCTCATCGTGCTTACACAACTAATAAGTAATTATTAATAATATTAACAGTATTGATAGTATTTATTCATAATATTATTATATTACCCAAAAAAATAACACTTTGCCCAAGTTGTATCTGAACAGCAATTAACCACTATACTGCAAGCCAACAAAACCCATATCAAAATAGCTGCTATTGCGATTCCTATTAGATAAAGGACACTTTAATATTTCATATAATAGTCGGTAACGCGGCAGTGCTTGACGCGCACTGACTCGGGTTCGAAACTCGGTCACCGGCGACTTCATTTGCCGAACGAGAAATCAGTTCGATAATTGGAGTCCTCTCTCCGGCGACGGACTAATCACCCGTCTCGGAGTATCAATGGCTTAGAAACCTTCTCCTTTGGGGAAAGCCACTATGGCTCTTAATGAGCGTATAAAGTGTTAAAAAAAATATTAATAATATGAAATATTCAAATTATTAACATATCATAAATTACCTAGGCTGCCGAACCATCTGCATGATTCAATTTGTTTCAACATATTGATGTAGTTATTTCCTAACTCTTTCATATCCATAAGTTTAGATATGAGCTTGCGCGTGTGACTCTCATAAGGATAAATGGAAAATTCTAATTGTCTACGACGATCCATTAGAGATTGTTTAATTCCTGGAGTACAGTTTTAAATTAGAAATATGTAGCAACTGTAAGTCACAAAACTTACTCCATCTTTCTCTTTCAGTTTGATCGTGAACTGCTTTTGGAATATTAGCACTTTCAGCCGATGTCAAAGGAAGACTTAATAAATCGCCATTTTCGACATTCAATATATTTTTGGCAACATTGATCATATCGTCCTAGCATCAAAAAACGTTACAAAATGGTCACATTTTATACTTTCATACACAAAAAAATATTGGAGTTATTTAACAACAATGATGTTTGATAGTGATTGGTTAAGTTGAATTTTTTTAAATTTACATCAATTACCAGTGGCATAATTAGGGGGGTTTTACCTTCCACGAAATGATATCTGATGTTTCAATTTTGTAGTCGCGATACCCTTTTTTTTACGTATTTGAGTTTTCAGCAAAAAAATAGATAATAATACCCTGCCCCGAAATTATTTTCTAATTGTGCTACTCTCAAGTACAATGGAACATTCAATTGAATATATTATGTTGAATATTGTAACATTTCAAAATAAGAAAAATAAAAAGTTATAATAAAAATATCACGTCTCTTAGTTTCAATTCCGACGGATTTATAATAAGTTAAAACTAATTTCAACTAAAACAGATATTCTTAAATTAAGAAAGTAACTAATTACTTTAAAGTTATAAACTTGTATTATTTTAACTCTATAAATATAAGTAATGTAAGCACTTCGCAAGTTAAACACTTGAGATTAAAATAACTATTAATTTTTTGCGTATACTAACAAGGTACGTGTAATTTTCTACATGTAATCTGTTAGCTGAGATCATATCACACATAACAGAAACGTCAGGAAGACATCTTTCAGGTATAACTTGTAATTCTGAATTTAGATCGCTTATTTGTCTATTAAAAACTATAATATTGTCTTTTACCAACTCAGCTTGCGCTATTACATCCCTGACTTTTGGAAATACTTTCTGAAAATCTAAAAAAAATATAATTTAATTAAAATTTCATGTAAAATTTTAAATGACAAAATATATTTAGGTTAACTACAACTATTCATACCTTGTACTATTATTGATACATTATTTCGTGATCCAAATTTGTGATTCGGTCCATAAATGTCATTTTCAATAGACCCTCCTAAATTATCAGCTATATCTGAAAATATTATTTATTTTAATCTAAAGGATTTATAAAGTATAAAAATCATGTAAATAGAAGCCACCTTTAAAATTATATCTAAAATTGAAATATTAATTTTTAATAGTATTCTACATTATTATGTCAAGTATAATTAGTCAACTATAAAATGAGTAGTAAGATATAGATATACTATCCCAAAAACACTAGTGTCAACAATAAAAAAATTATATTTAAACTATTCTGTATGTAAATTATTTTAAAACAAAGTAGATACATTTCGACTAAATATTTTTATTTTATACTCTATTTAAATTTTAAAAAGTAAAAATATTCTAATAGTTTAATAATTAAACTATATAGACATGACTTATTCATAATTATTACGAATTAATCCAGTGTTTATAAAAAATTCTCCGTTTATGACTAAAAATGCTGCTCATTTTTAATAAATATATATAGGCAACTAGAACCAAAGTGACAATTTGGATAAATATGATATAGTGTAGAATGACCATGTGTTTAAAAGATCACAGTGATATTTTTTAAACAAAATATTACAATGCATAACATTTAATTGTGCCAAACAATATAATAGTAGATTTTGAATAGAATTTCATTGGTGATTTCGAATCTATTCTAAGTATAATTAAATTGTCAATAATTTCTGAAATATTGATATAAATTATCGAACAGTATTCTTCTTCTAAGTTCGAACTATCGAACATTATCTATGTACACATCAGCCATATAGCATTCAATAACATCTCTTTTCTCTATCTCTTTTTCCCTCTGCATTCATTTTCATAACTATTCTTACAGTTTCCTATTCATCTCTCTTCATAATATAATCAAACTATCTAAGTCTATATTCTCTAATCTAATTCACGAGTGAGGCATCACCTATACTCCCTTTTATGTGTTTATTCCTTATTCTATCTTCTCTAGTCACCCCCAATCATCCATCTCAGCATTCTCATCTCTGCTACACTCATTCTCTGCTCTACTTCCTTGTCAATTACCCAACACTCTGAACCATAAATAGCTGGTCTCATCGTAGTCTTATGGAACTTAAATTTCAGCCTCATTAGAATTCTTTTATTGCAATACACATGAGGTGCTTCTCTCCACTTTATCCACCTTTACTTAAACGATGTCTTACATCCTCATTTATAGTACCGTTCTTTTACACACCTAATGTAAATACTTAAAACTTTCCACCTTTGCTATCACGTCCTCGCTTATTGTCACTGATCTCATTTTACATACCCCCTGTTTTCTTTTGTCAAACTGTACTCTATATACTCTTACTTATTCTTAATCCCTTTCCTTTAAGAGTTGATTTCTACATCTCTATCAGGTGAATAATTTCTTCCCTATTTTTAGCTTCGATGCAAATCTGAGAACGTATTGGTTTTACTATGATGTGTTTTTTTTGTCTATTACCACTCGTATCTAGTTGAAGACATTATGCTCAAAAATTGAAAAAATTTCCATTATTCCCCATGAATGGAGGAAATCTCCAAAAAATTACAAATTTAAAAATTGATAATTTTTGACATTTTTTTACTTAAAACTGCCATAACTTTTTTAAAAATGACAAAATGAATAAAATAAATTTTTTATAGATACGTGGGCTGTTTACCTATCTTTTTGTATATTTTTTTAAAAATCTGATCTTTTACCTGCCCTCAGAGAAGGATCCAAAATTACAACTATTTCACAAAAAATTAACTTTTCAACTTGGCGTTTGAAAGTGTTCCAGAAATACTGACATTTTTATATATATCTTAAATTATAGGCCAGTCAACGAAGGAGTAAATTTGGCAATGGCGGAAAAAATTCCCAACCAAATTTTTTTTTTTTTAAAGTTGAATTAAGATATGTTTAATGACATACTAAAAGTCCTCATCGATTGGACTTGAGCTTTTTTTTTTACAGACTCGCAAAAGTTCAAAAATATGAGCTTTTTTAATTTTCTCAAAAAATATTTGACTTACAAAATAAAATTTCGTACAAAAGTTGTTTAAAAGACAATTTTAAATAAAAAAGCTATCTTATAATTTTTCATTTAAACAAATATTTTTCGAGTTACATTACATTTAATATGAGTACTAAAATTTATTTTCCAATTTTTTTCATTTTACGGTCACTTTTTATCATGTTATACTTACATTAGACACAATGTTATAAATGCATATGTGTGTATGTGTTGTTTTATTTATTTATAGTATCATTAAAGTGTAGTGTATATTAAGATACAACTGAGGAGTAGGTAATTGATTTGACGCTATATTGTTTAAACTCAACTAAACGCTAAATTGTACATTCCCAAACAACAATTATATTATGTCAATTGCTACCGGAATTTCTGCTAATCTTTTTCTTTGCCTTAATCCCAAATACTTGGGGTCGGCCACCCTAATCCTTAACTCCCACTTGACACGATCTCCCACATCTTCTACGCTTACATCAGCTGTCCTCATATTGCATTCAATAACATCCCTCAATCTCATTTTTGGTCTTCCTCTACCTCTTCTTTCTTCAACATTCATTTCTATAACTGTTCTTACAGCTTTCGATTCTTCTCTCCTCATAATATGACTCAATCATCTAGGTCTATTTTCTCTCACCTTACCCACGATTGACGCTACACTTATACTCCCTCTTATATGCTCGTTCCTTATTCTATCTTTTCTAGTCACTCCACTCATCCAACTAAGCATTTTCATCTCTACTACACTCATTCTCTGCTCTACTTTCTTATCAACCGCCCAACACTCTGAACCATACATTATAGCTGGTCTCACTACATTGTTGTAGAATTTACCTTTTTGCCTCATTGGAATTCTTTTATCGCATAATACAACAGAAGCTTCTCTTTACTTCAACCACCCGCACTTAAACCTGTGTCTTGCATTCTCGTCAAACCACCGCTCTTTTGCACTACTGATCCTAAATACTTAAAACTTTTNGGTCCTAAATACTTAAAACTTTTAACTCCCCATTCACACTCTCACCTATTGTCAATTTTTTCCGCCATTGCCAAATTTACTCCTTCGTTGACTGGCCTATTAAAGCTAATGTAATATACTAAATTATGAAAAAAAAAATCTAGGACTTTGTTTTGTCTTCACGGTAAAAATGGCAAATATGTTATTTTTGTGTTAAAAATTTGTTTATTATTTTATTTTAAATTTCTTTTAAAAAAATTTTTGAGTTAGAAATAATTTTTTAAATCATTTGATTTTTATCTCATTTAGATTCAATAACTTAAATTAATATCTAGGACCCTATCAGTGTAGCCCCCTCGTTTGAAGAAATTTCTTATTCATATTAAAGTTTTTTTACTATGTGATTTTTTTTATAGCTCTCGTTCATATTCTCAGCTCTCACTTGACCAAAATTTTTTTAAAGATACATCAAATGATCACGACTATTATATATATAAAGATATTACCCTTAAAAATGGAAAAAAATTCCACTTTATCAATTAAAAATTTACTAAGCTCACATTCTCCATATTTATAATTAAAATCATTCATTTTCAATGTTTTTAAAGTATTGTCCAAGTAGGTTTGATATAATAATAGGTTTCAACTACAAAATTAAATAAATTTTAACTTTATTTGGATGTTACTAACAGACTATAATATTCCAATTTTTTTTGTAATATCTAAAATCATAAATAATATCATGTAATATCATAAATCTAAAAAAAAATGATTTTTATTTTCACCTGAATTTAACAAATAATTTTTACGATTATAATAAAATTTTATAATACATTCAATTAAGTAGATTTTTTTAACAACATTTTTATTGGTTTTTTTAATTAATGTAAATCATTAAAATTAATTATGTTCTAGATATTTCAATTGCAGAATATTTTTAAACCCCAAAAATTACATGGAAATGATTACTATGATTTCTATTATAATAAAAATTTTAAAAAAATATTTAGCTTTTCAGATAAATTTACAGTAAATAGTAATTATACAATTTCCAGAATGCATATTAATCTTAACAATACTATTTTTTTATTTTCATAAAATTTTCTATTTAAATAATGTAAATTTCAAACTTGAAATGGAACTAAAAGTTAAAAGTAACATATTCAACTTTTTTTTATTATAAACTTTCAAAAAATCAACTTTAAAATACCAAAAAATAGGTGAAAAATGATAATATGCACTGATTATTTTTAAAATATTAAAAATAAAAATTTATAATAATTTAAAAACATTCAAAACGAAATTTTTTTTTGTGTTTTTAATTATTTTTTTATCGTAATAAATCATTTTAAAAGAATTATTAATAATTTCTATGTAACTCTTGGTGTTTACCAAATTTTTTTGCAGACCATATATTCATAATTAACAACAAATTATTATCTAAAATTTTATGTGTCAATAAGTTCTATTTTTATACACGTTTTAATAACTACTTTATAATTTTATAAATTCTCCTAATATATAACAATACNTAATTAGCCATAATGTCAAAAATTATAGATCATGGAAAACATACAATATGATTTGAAATTAGCACGAAAAATTGAATAATAGAAGTATATTTTTTACTCTGATGAAATTTTTTTGCAGACCATATATTCATAATTAACAACAAATTATTATCTAAAATTTTATGTGTCAATAAGTTCTATTTTTATACACGTTTTAATAACTACTTTATAATTTTATAAATTCTCCTAATATATAACAATACTAAGGTATTAAATATCAATTTCATATAACGTTGAATTGCTTTAAAATATATTTATTCATAAATTATACTTAAAAATCAACTACTAATTAGGATTAATGATAGAAATAGGAGTTAATTTTGTTTTAGAATAATCAACGAATTTCTTAAAGTTAAAGACTATCTACAGATTTGCATCGAAGCGTTTTTTATGATAGTGATTTTAATTACTCTCAGATATTATTTATAGTGAATCCAACTATACCACGTTCCCACTGTGTTGAGATTTTTTTATGTTTTTTATTTATTATTAA